GGAATAGAGTTGTGCAAACAGGCATCAACTGGAGACTACATAAACATCCAGATTAAGGCTAAAAAGTCCAGAATAGGATCTGGTGTAAGACTTGCTTTTTTATTCAGAGGGGGAGAGAGAGAGTGGGAGGGGGGAGGATGGAGGATTGGAGACAGCCCCCATGGGGGGGAGTGAAGCGTTACGTCTGAGTGAGGAGGAAAGGGGGGGAAAGAAAGGAATCAGCGCGGCAGCGCGAAGGTTAGGGAGCCTGGATGTTACGCATACACGGTCCGTTGAGGCCAAGAGGGGAGAGAGAGAGAGGTGTGTGGAGGGAGAGGGGGGAAGGGGTAAGGGGGGAGAGAGAGGGAGGAGAGAGAGTGGGGGAAGGGAGGGGGTGGGGTGGAGAGAGTGAGTGAGAGGGGGGAGGATGGAGGATTAGGGACAACCACCATGGGGGGGAATGAAACGGCACGTCTGAGCGGTGAAAGAAGGAGGAGGAAAGGAATCAGCACACTTCGGACGGGGTGGGTGGGTAGAAAGGGTTACGCCCACCTGGAGGACGGGAGTGGAGGAAGTCGTCGAAACACTTAAAGGGACCCCCTACACGGGAGTAGGCACCTTGCCTCTAGTACGGCAGGAGCAGCTGGGTCCGATGACGCGTAGCAGAAGCCGGATGCAGGCAATTGACACACACACACTTTATAAGGGTTTCTCCCAGACTGCTGTTTTAACGCCCTGATGATGTCAGACGGGTTCTGACGAAAGCTCGGCTCATTAAATTTTTAAACTTTTATACTTTGCTCCTCTTGGTGCTCGGTTTTATTCTTGTACAAAAGTAAAGAACACCAGGAGAAAAAGAGACTCTAAAAAATACATTCAATGGTTAAAACCAACAAGACAATGCATGGCTAAAACCTATAAAATTGTTCTTTAGAAATCTTACAAGAATTAAAAACCTAGCTTTCGTTGGCAAACTGCCAACTTCCTCAGGGCTGTAGTTCATACAGGGCGGGAGAAGCCTCCTTT